CTTCCTTCCTTCCTTCCTTCCTTCCTTCCTTCCTTCCTTCCTTCCTTCCTTCCCTTTTATCTGAGACAAGGTCTCACTTTGTAGTCCAGGCTAGCCTGGAACTCATTATGTAGTCCAGGTTGGCCTTAAATTCACATTGCTTCTTTCACCTCAGTCTTCCAGATGTTGGGATTACAGTGATGAGCCACCATGCACAGGCTGAAAACATCATTTTAGATATAGGAAGTTTGCATTTTGCAGGGTTCCACTACATACCAATTTTAGCTACTACAGGGTTGGTAATTAATACCAGTTTATCAGAACAATTCAAATTTCAGGTTGCTGCAGAAAACTAATCATAGTAATTGCATAAAAAAATAGTTCTTTAGCCCACAGATCATTATGGAAATAACAGATGTGTACTGTGGTGATCAGTGAACAATTATATAACTCCTTTTAAAGTCTCTCAGTGAATTGTCATTGCAGAGTACAGACACCAAAGGAAGTAAGCATGTTACTTCCTTTCCTCTTTGTGACTAGACCATGTGGCATTTTTCAGGAGTTTGGTTAGGACAGAAAGGATGCAGATATTTCAGAGAAAATGCCACTAAAAAAAGAAATCATTAAAGGAACTCTCAAGAAAATTTTCTAATAGATACAAACTTAGGATTACAACCATTTTCTGAGGCATAGAAAAAATTGTGGTATATCATAAGTTATATTGTGGGAAGAAAGCAAGCACAAGGTATTGTTCAAACCACTGAGAAGGTTTTGTTTAAAAAACAATTTTTTTTTTGTTTTTTCCGAGACAGGGTTTCTCTGTGTAGCCCTGGGTGTCCTGGAACTCACTCTGTAGACCAGGCTGGCCTCGAATCCAGAAATCCGCCTGCCTCTGCCGCCCAAGTGCTGGGTTTAAAGGCGTGCGCCACCACTGCCCGACAGGAAGAGAGCTTTGAGTGTTTTCCTGATGATTAGGATATCTTTGTATTTCAAGTTGTACAATTATTTTTTTAGGTCAGTGGGAAATTAATTCTAGTAAAAATTTTGTGTATCTTATCATACATCTATCTTGTCTGTTAGGAAATGGACTGTGATTCATTTCACTGCAAGTAAAATATTACAAGATATTTACAGGAAAGCATTACAAATAAACACGAAATTCAAGATGAAATAGGGCCGGGGAGATGAGTCTGTGGATAAAGTGCTCGCTGACTAAGTCTGACAATTTGAATTTGAATCCCTGGAACCCACCTAGAGCCAGACATTGCACACCTCACCTATTAGCCCTGCCCTATCTTAACATAGGAAGCAGAGATAGAAAAAATTTCCAGAAGCCTTTGAGCTGGCTTGCTTGGCACATGTAATATGAACAATAAATACACAAACAAAAAAACACTGTCTCACACATGACGGAAAGCAAGAACCAACATCTGAGGTTTCTCTCGGACCTTCACACACAAGCTATGTGTTTGTACACACATGTACCCATACACACATACATCATACATATAAACACAACAAACAATAAAAAAGACAAAGATAAAACTAATTTTCCCTCTCAGAAATGTTTAGGACCCACAATGTACAAGAATCTAAACAAATGAGCAATTAAGTTTCTTCTGATTACAAATTTCAAAAAAATGGAGAAAAATATGGAATGAAATGATGGTGTGAAAGAGAATGGGTGTTAGCAGCAATGCTAACCAGTTTATACAGTTTATTCTGAATAAAATACCCTCTCTGTGCAGTAAATTGTGAGAGTAAAGTTTAAGATATTCCTTGCACTAAAATGCACCGAACTTAGAAAATGTCCTGACAGTAGAAGTATCTCTTTCCCCTAAGTTTAATAAAATCCTCTTGTACCATGAACCACTGTGGCTGCACAGTCATTTTTAGATCTCACAGTAATCTATAATTGAAAGGCTATGCTTCAGATAAAGCAAGAGATAACTCTCCCCAAACATCATCAAATGGTACATCTGAAGAGTTTGGACACACCAGTAAACAGGACCCCATAAACTCTCCTTTTATTTAGAACAACCACTGAATGTTTTTTCCTC